CTCTCATCCCCTTATCGTATAAGCTGTATTATTATCAGTTCAGTTTACATGACATCGTTTAAGTTGCAAGATGTCAAGAAAAAGATTGCACATCATTCAAGGACTTTGCATCCTAGGGAGGGTCCTTAAGCCTTGAATTCTTATTAGCAGGAACATCCCACCCAGGATGCGTGTGGATTTGGTATAGGGTGAGTCCTTGAATTTCTACAGAAATGAAAGAGGAGAAAAAAAGAACTTGTATGCACCTGGGGGGAGGGAGTAGCAGACGTTGCAAAACAAGCGAGTTGTTCAGTTTTGCTCTGGGTTATATGCTGGTTTGCTTTAGCGTGCCGGGCCTGGCTGGCGTACAGGTGAAGTCTTGGTCTCCAGCAAACTTGCTGCAGGGGAGACTTCTTGTTGCAATTACCTTCCGTGCATAACTAAGTAATAAGACTCAAGCTGTCTCTCATGTAAAATGTACTTTCACGAACAGCTGGCTTTAAAAGTCAGTGTTACTATCAACTGTTGCCAGCGAAGTAAGTGATTGGCTTTGAGGCGGAAAGCTCCCCCACAGTGAGTGCTGAAGAGCACACACCCCCAGACTTCCAGATGTCCGAGCTGGACACCAGGCAGGGGCAGCATTTACAAGGAAAGAAACTGAGGAGGGCTAAAATCAAGGAGAGAGAATCAGAAAACACTGACCTGGCAAGCCTTCGTGCGTGAACAAGATCACGTCACAAACTCCCGAAACAGCTCTGGTCCCCCAGCCGAACGAAGGTCTCAGTGAGACCTGTCTGACTCCTCTACTTAGAACTACAGCCTTTCCCCCTCTCAGCCCCTTGCCTTCTCAATTTTTCTCCACAGCATTTATCATCATATAACATATGTTTTCCTTATTTATTTATTTGTCCCTTTCCACCAGAATTTACATGAGGGCTGGAAATTATTATGTTTTTGTCTGTTCTGCTCCCCACAGTAAGCCAGTGCTTGGCATATGGTGGGTTCAAAATATTTGTTGAATTCATCATAGACTGAATATACAGCTGTACATGAGTCGGGCTGAGATGTCTGAGATGGAGGGTGGAAGGAAGAAGACCCTGGGCTCCGGAGAAGTTGGGGGAGAGGAGCAAAGCCAGCGAGACAGGAGGAACCAAGGGAATGTGAAGTCCTGGAAACCAAGGAGGCTTTTTAGGGAGGTGGGAGGGAACGATCATCTGCTAGCTATCAAGTTTTCCTTGAGTTAGCTCAAGTAGAATTGCATATTCTGCATATAAATTTGAGTTCCAACCTGCACTTATGTCTCATGAACCGATCCTTTATCCTCCAAGCATCAGTGGCCCTGAGAATCTTTATGAATGCTGTGGATCTTCCCTTCAGAAAAGTTCATTTAGATACACGCAAGACTGTAGACGGTTGCCAGGGATCCTAGACCCAGTCAGGTCCATCCCAGAAGTCCGGTTCATAACCGACCCTCGCCTCTCCCCAAAGAAGTCTTCTTATGGCATTAACCAAACTATCTCAATGTAGAAATTCAGGTGTTGCAGGTATCCTAACTTCTCCAGATATGTTTCCAAAGATTAGACTGCGTTAAGTTAACTTTCTGGGTTCTCGGGGTAGAACACAAACTGTAAAATAAGCTGGCTCAAGCCTGAAAATAACAGTGAAACAAAGGAGAACTCACCGTCATCTCCTGGACGTGAAACATTTCTGCACCTCCAGATGACAGCCGATTGGGGAAAGAGATGCTGACGGATGACCCAGGAAGGGTGCTTGGTCCAGTGTTATAGACCTGTGGGTATGAGACACAAACGGCAAGTTTTAACAGAAATACAGATCTTCATTGCATGTCATGCAACAGGTACTCTAAAATTCTTAGAAGTGATACACAGAGACTCTAGGGTTTGGGATCTACTAGGTCATGACTTAAAGAGAAATAGCGAATGATGGGAGATTTCAATGAAATAGAAATCCTTCTAATATGCATTTTTAAACCCCAAACTTTCAAATTATCTTATTTCCTTTTAGGATTTTGTCTTTTTCCTGCTAAAAATTATATTTCTTTTTACATACCTAGAAATACACGTGTAGAGACAGAAAATAGATTAGTGGTTGCCTAGGGAGGATGGGGAGTGAGGTAAGCAGAAGAATGCATCCCCCCGCCCCACCCAAAGATGCCTACGGCCCAGTTGGTAGAACTTGTGAATATACTACCTTACGTGGCAAGGCGGGGAATCAAGGTTGTTAATCAGCTGGCCCTAAAATAAAGGGTTATCTTGGATTACCCAGGTGGGTGCAATGTGATCACGAGAGTTCTTACATAGGGAGGAGAGAGACAGACAGAATCAGGGAGATGTATTATGAGACTTAACTGGCCATCGCTGGCTTTGGAGATGAAGAGGGCCATGAGCCAAAGAATGCAGCATTCTCTAGAAGCTGGAAAAGGTAAGAAAACAGATTCTCCCCTAGAGCCTCCAGAAGGAATGCAGCCCTGCTGACACCCTGATTTTAGCCCAGGGAGACCCATTTTGGACTTCCATCCTCCAGAACTGTTAAGATAATAAATTTGTGTTGTTTGAAACCACTAAGTTTGTGATCACTTATTATAGCAGCAATAGGAAATGAATAAAGGGAGTGACTGCTAATGGGTATAGAGTTTCATTTTGGGGGTGGTGAAATGTTACAAAATTAGACTATGATAGTTGCGCAATTCTGTAAATATACTAAAATCATTGACGTGTGCCCTTTAACCTGGTGAGCTTTAAATGATATCTCAATAAAGATGTTATTTTTAAAAAGATGGGTAAGAACAAGAGAAAGGAAGGAAATGCTGCTTGGAGGCCTGGGGACTAGGGAGGGAATTCGGGGACGCGAGGCATCTCTGAAGTTGAGGTCAGAAGGGCAGAGGCTGGAAACCTAAGCAGGTCTTCACACATGACACAGCGTATCAGGATCTAGCCACAGCCAGATCTTCCCTAAAAAACCAAGTCTTCATTTTTTATTTTTTATTTGCCATAGTTGATTCTGCTTCACAGAACAGACAAAAAATGATTGAGTGGATGAGAAGTCATTGCCAACTCTTGATTGAAAAAGAACAAAATCCATCAAAAACAACAATCCCAAGACACAAGAAGAGGAAGGACTATCCAACCACAATTGAAATAATTTGAAGTGAAACGTGAGAGCACCCAGTTGACAAGAAACCTACTGACATGTCTGGGAAATCCCAATTAAAGCATAAGTTGGGGGGCGGGGGGATGGCTGGAAGGAAAGAAGAAAATGATTTTGATTTGCATTATTTCACCATCAGAGCCAGACAGATGGGAGAGCTTGTATTATCATACTTATTTACTTTTAGCAAATGTCTTAACATTTGATTCTCTGCAAATGTTCTTGTGCAACATCTGCATTATTTTTCATCATTTTTCAGGTGAGAGAAATGATCAACTTTTGATGCAAAAAAAAAAAAAAAAAGCCTATCATTAGTTAACGAATTATTTTGTCTGTTAGGAAAAACTCTGATAAAATGTAAAAACCAGGCCCAAGATCAGTATTTCTGCCTTTCTGTCTTTCTCCCATTTGCATTTGCAGTAGTCTTTAAACAATTATGTAGCTTGTTGAATAATAGCTTTTAAAAGACACAGAAAGATCTCTTTATATAAAAAGTCTTGTGATAGTCTTCAGGAGTGATGTTGCCAGAATAAGGAAATGCAGAAGCATTTTATGCATATTTCTGATCCCTATTCTCACCTCTTGGTCACTATCACCATTAACCTGGTTAGTGGCCTTCAGGCAGGATGGTCATAACAACAAGTACACCGGAAAAGGAGCTGTCAGAGAATTCTCGAGGAAACAGTCAGTGCTGCTAACACAAGGGGTCTCCTTCTAATCAGCGACACACATCATCCATCTTTCAGACCCAGCCACCTCTCTTAATGCTGATGGAATGTTGTGTTCTTCCTCAGGCAACTGATGATCACAAGGTCTCTCTAAGGGGCATGTTGGTCACTGGTTAAAGGGCCCTGATTCTCTAGCCTGTCTCTTATGTCAGGCCAGATGCGAAGAAAGTTCTTTGCCTGCATATCAAGCTTTAAGCTCCCTGTAAAAATGCCTTTGGAGAAACATGACTTGACCACGTACCCTCAGATTTCTTCATTTCTTTTAGAGGGTGATAACATTTTTTCCTCTTTTGTATAACTGCTGTTCCCCTTGCCTTCTCTGTCAACATGCACGCCCTCTACATGGTGTGTGTTACGTGAGTCCTTCTAAATAATTTTCTTGACTGTATCTTTTATTGTATGACGCACAAAACAAAAACTATGAGTAGGTACGTAATTAAAATGATTCAAGTAAAATGAAATAACTCTATCTGGTCTTGACCAGATCTATCCAATTTTTCTATCCAATTACAAAAAGTGATGGAGAAAAATAACAAATTGCGAAAAGCATTTTAGCAACACAGAGGACCTGTCCACAGGAATCACTCTGAGCTCTCAAAAGTAGGTCTAACCCATCTTTCTGGTTTGCCCCGTAAATCAAGGCATGGGGTGTGACAGCTGAGCTTAGCTGGCTGGGAGGTGCATTCCCTCTGAGCTGGGGACATGTGCTACTCATCATGGTTTCCAAGGTCTCTGGCCTGGCAGAACATTTTGGAGAGAAGAAGACCACCCCATTTGTGTTTGTGAGACCCCACAAACATTTTCTGCCTCATTCTTTAGGCCCTTACCCTGTCATGATTTGTCATCCCCTCAGTCCACCTAGGAGTGGCCACAAGGAAAGAAAATAATAATTATTTGGCCACAGCAGTCAGTGCTAGACCGGGAACAGTCTTCTCCAAGGGGAAGGGTGGAGTGGAGGCAGGAGAGCTCTGGGAGACGTGGAGCGTAGGCTACGCCGCACCCCGGGTGGGACGGGCCTACCTCCTCCGCCTTCGCTCCATCCCCGGCTCGTGGCAGGGCGTCTAGTCAATGCTTGACCAGCCCTGGCCTAGCCCCGTCCTCGCCTCTCCCAGCTCTGGGCCGTGTAGCATGTCGTCTCCCGCCTGGGTCTACGTTCTCTGTGTTTGCCAGTGAAGGAGAATGGACTGGAGGATGCTGGATGATGCTGAGGCAGCTCTAGCTTCACATTCAGAGAGTCTCACATCGAATAGTGCTGGCCTGAGAATCAGTACTTCAGAGCAGGGCTCCGCACACTACAGCCTGCAGGCCAAATCTGGCCTGCTACCTCTTTTCATACAGCCTGCGAGCTAAGAATGGTTTTATATTTTTCAATGGTGCAAAAAAAAAAAAATCGAAAGAGTAACACGTCATGACATGAAAATGACATGAACTTCAACTTCCAGGGTGCATCGTGACGGCTTTGTGTCTGCATTGCCTGTGGCTGCTCTCACACTTTGGCAGCGTAACTGAATTGTTGCTACGGAGACGGTATGGCCCGCTGAGCCTAAAATATTGACCCTCTCCCCTTTTCAGACAAAATTCGCCCACCCCTGGCTTAAGAGAAGGAACAGTGTCCTTCACGACGAGTGGCCCTGCTGGAAATGATGCTGGTGTGACGGGGAGAGCCAGCTCCTGCTCCGCGAAGGAGCAGCACGTTTCCTCCCATGTGCTCACACTGCTTTGCTCTTGGGAAACCCCACTTCTGAAAGGCTGTCTGTCTGCGGGGGGAGTGGGCTCTTGGCTGAGTCATCACAGAGAAGCGCAGGAGGAAGGAGACAAAACAAATCGCCAAGGCTGCCCTAGCCATCATGTGAAGACTGATGGAGAACTGAAAGGGGTCCTTTGGGGCCACTGGGGCTGGGATGTTGGCCTGGGCCTCAGCGTCCAGAGGCCTTCTTGGGGAAAGCTGATGTTCGTCATGCAGCTCTCATTCCAAGTGCTGAAAAGCAGAGGGGTCTACGCAGCAGAGTACCAGAGAGGGGAGGGGTTGATTCTGTGTGCGGTTACAGAAAACGCATACATACACATCCACTATGCTCCAGCCAACCAGGCTGAGAAGAGTTTCTCCTGGAAATAGCCTGACCCTTTAGTTGCCTTTTAGTAGAAGACACATTCCATGGGCCCTTCTGTTGGCTCCCAGTGACAGAGATGGTCCCCAGGGGTAGGTACCTGAAGGGTGACGTTGAGGGGCTGGAAATGGCACTCCAGATCATCCAGCTGAATGAAGCTGGATGCGTCCACTGACTCGCCATACACGAAGGAGGTTGGAGACATGATTCTGAAAGAAGAAACCAGGAAATCTGTCACCCCAACCCTTGGTCAAGCAACGCATGGTCACTGCCATCCTGAGGACCCAAACGTCTGTCTCTGTGGAATCTGGCTCCCTCCAGTATTTTCCACCAAAGGCTTCCCTTCTGGAATTGTTACTTTCTCTCCTGTAAATGGACACGGCCAGACTTATGCTTTCTAAACAGACATTTCCAGTAATGTCTTCTCACCTTAGGTCAAATCGATAAGCTACATATACAAATATGAACTAGGATTACATTTCTAAACCAAAGAGAAAGACTCTGGTTTGATTTCGGTTTTTTAAAACAGGATTATAAAGTTATACATGTTCTGTTTTGTCATTTAAAAGCTGTTTTGTAGATTGAGGAAGATCATGGCAAGCTCTTAAATGTAAATATAAGTGAATCATATATTTGGCATCTAAACTTCTGTGACAAATTCATTTAAAGAATTTATCAGACTACTAAAATGATTAGAAATTAAATATTAAAAATGGAGTCCATTCAATGATAGCATTTTTCTTCAGATTTCAAACAGTGGCTACATAAGAGGTGACTAAGAATTCAAGCTTGTTTTGTAGCATTATTTCAATGTTGCCTGTTATCAACAAATCCCAAGATGAAATAAAGCCCAGATTCACTTGAATTTCCAAATATTGGATTCTAGATGAGATTCTAGAAGCTGTTCACTCGCCTGAACACTAATAATGTAAGATTTTTGGTCCCAAGTCAGAATGGCAAGCTTTTAGGAAATAAATTCATCTATTTTCAACTTAAGCGTATTCCTTCAGGAATGTAGTGAGTCCCAGTATCATCCAATAGCAAGATCTGGCTCCTTTCTGCTCGCACTGTTTCATGTTCCTGAAGAGATCAGAGGTGGACTCGTTTGTTTAACCAGTGGCTTCATCGGGGGGCTGTTAGCACCTCACAATGAGGCCTCCAAGGGCCTGATAACAGGCTCAAGTGAACCAGTGTTTTCTCCTTGGTCCCCAAGGACAGGGCTTGGTTCGGGGCACAGGCTCACTGTGCCTCTGATGAGAGAAATAAATAAACTATATGGTTAAAAATAAAGCCATGAACAGAGGCAAATCTACGCTAATTTGCAAATATAATCCACCGATGCTTCACGTCTGAAGAACGTGATGAAAAAGGCCACGGACGCTGGACCGCCCATTCCCGGGCACCCAGCAGAGCTTAAGCCATCACAGCGATGGCTCCTTCTGTGATGAATTAACATTTCTACTTCTAGCCAAGGCTGGGACCAAGAGCATTTGAAAATTGAAAAATGAGAAACTTTGAACCTCCAGAAAGTTGAGCTTGCATATAGGGCAAGGGTTCACTGGGTTGTCATTTGATCTGAACTAACTGTACAAGTCTTTTTTTTCCTACTATCAAAGAGGTATGCGCTCTGTTTTCTGAAGCCGGAAGCAGGAACCAAGTTCTCATTTTTCCAGGCCTGGGCTTTGGCTGAAAACTGACCCAGGTTGTTTTGGGACTCACAGCTCTGCTTTCCAACAATGCCAGTAGCTCTGGGTGGCCTGGACTTCACCCGAGCAGATGGTATGCCCATCCCAACCGTCCTGTGCCCTTTCCAGACTACCACGGGCATCAGGCAGAGCTGCCGCAGAAGGGGTTAACGGAGACACACAAAACCAGTGCTGCCTCCGAAGCAAATTCGAAAGGCACACCTCCCTTCCAGCCAGGACACTGGGACATATCTGGCTGTAACCTCTGGCCCAGCAGCCTGTGGCTGAGATTTTAATCCCAGGAATCATACTGCCTGTTACCATATGGCACTCTGGAAGAGTAGGCCCTGAGAATAAATATACGCATATAAAGATGTACAGAAGGTTCAAAGAAATTATGGGGCTTAAACTTGTCGTCAAACTTCTTGTGTTACCCAGCAGGTGGGTGGGTGGTGGGGAAAGAGGAAAAAATGAGGAGGGAGGAGGGAGGAGGGCATGAGTCACTGCACTCAAAGCGTCCTCCTGCCTTTCGGAGCTGGGAAGAAATGGAAGTGGCAGGGCCGCTGACTCCTGGCTACGCTTGCTTGCGAACACAGGAAAGGCACGGCGTTCCACTGCAGGCCACCCCTGTGTTCCCGCAGCCCGGGACTGGGCTACTCACCCAGTGACGGACGTGTCCACTTCATGCATGAGCGGCACCGTCAGCGTGAGGGTGTTGTCATGCAGAGATTCTGAGCGCTCCACGTTGCCGCTGCGGGGAAGAGTAAGGGAAGGCTGGTGAGCGCTAGCTCCGCGGCGGCAGACCCGGCAGACCTCTGTCTGTGTTCCGTATTAGAGCACTGCCTTCTCCGAGGGCTGACTCTGTGCCCTGTGCGGAGTCGCAGTGGACACTCTACTGCCTCAGCTGTGTTTCCCTTACAAAGATGTGAGTGGTGCAAATAGTGTCCTGGGGAGCTGATCGCAGGACACACCAGTCGGGAGTGGAGAAGGGAGACGGAAGGGGAGGAAGACAAGAACGTCACGGGATCCAGGAGGTGAGTGCTGTAGGCAATTGGACGCCGTCTGGCTGGGGAACTATGGGAGGCTGTGAAGAACACACACTTCAGTCCTCCCGGCTGAGGGCATGGGAGCTGGGCCCTGATTCACTGACTCCTGAGACCTGCTGCTGCTGCTGGGGGAGGCCAAGTGGGAGGCATTAAGTCCCTGGCATCTGCCTTGGTTTCTGGCCAGACAAAGCCTCAGGCAGAGTGGCAGGTGCTGGGAGCTGCGCAGTGATGAGTGGGAAAGGTGAATGCTGAGGGGTGTGGATGGGCACCCGCAGTGTGTGTCGCTTCCGTAAGTGCTTGTTTCATGAATAATGAACAAAGAAGGTTAGGACACGACAGCCAGGAAGGGGGCTGCTGAACTTTCATGCTATTTCCCACCTAGAGGCATCACCCATCTTCCATGGACAGCCAAGCCCAGGACAGAGGCCCTGGCCAACTCTGCTACTATAAATGTCATGGGAGCTCCTCCTAAGGATGTCTGGCTGCAGTATGTCCCCATGCAGACTTCCCCCATGGGTTAAGAAAGCACAGGGTGGTGATTCTTGTGAGGTCACTCTGGAAAGGCAAATGCAGGGGAGCTGAAGCTCTTGAGTGGCTGCTATGTGCCAGGCACATTTCACAGCATGACCTCCCTGGGTTCTCAGAGTGACCTCAGAAAGGATGGATTGCCCTCCTCTGACGGGTGAGGAACAGCTCAGGTAGATTAGGTAACCTGGCCCAAGGACCAATGGCAAGCCAGGTCAGTCTGCCTCCCAAAGCAGGGCTTTTCCACTGTGATTCCTTCTGATACTGGGTTTGAGAGGCTTGGGAAGGGATGGGAAAGAAAAGGAGAAGAGAGAGAAGGAGGAAGAGGAGGAATGCAAAGACCTAGCTTCCCTTTACTATTAATTAAACTTCAAATGTGAACTGTGATTATTATTCCAGGGAAAGAACTGCCTGGGGAAAAGGCATGGCCGTTGGGGGCGTGATGCTGAACCCACCATTTCCAGTTGGTTCTACCACATGGCGTGAATGTGGGATCTGGGTGAAACAGAAGACCCCCAGACCCGCTGAGGTGTGGGCACAGCTCTTCCGGGCCACTCCCCACCACGCGCTGTTCCCTGAACGTGTGCAGGGTTCCTACCGGCTCCCTGCCTGCCCTGCCCCCACCGCCTTCCTCTCCCACCCTGAGAGTGCTGAACACAACAATACTTAAATAGCGCTCAGCTCACATCCCCTCTCCTTCTCTCTCCTATTGTTCTGAAACAATGGTGCTCTGCGCCTCTGACCCCCTGACTCCTCATCTGTCTTCCGCATACGGGGTGGGGCGACATCCATCACTCAAAGGACAACCACAGTTGCAGAAGCAGCAGAATCAGGCGCCCGCCCAGCCTAACTTCCTTGCCCTTCCTTTCCTAGGGGGCAACAGAAATCAGAGAACGGCAGAAATCAGAAATGGGACGGCAACGCCTGGGCCCGCTCCCGCCCCCCACTCAGCATCCTGCCAGGTCTGCATTATCGGTTCCTGATGGAAGCACCACCCCCTGGCCCTGCCATTTGTCCAGCCACCTGTGGCCCCTGGCAGCTCAGGCCTGACAGTCTCATCTGTCATCGGGTGACGGTTCCAGACTGAGCCAAGTTGAAAAGTTGAGATAAAGAGGCCAAACATCAAAAGGCTTCCAGTCGTCCTGCGAGCGTGTGACTTGGGACGCCTTCCCGAGGTCAGCAGAGCGGGGCTGCTGAGAGGGGGGCTCTTGAGAAACTGTTTAGTCTCAGTTTTATGTCCTCCTAGGTCCACAAGTGGGCAAGAGATCTTCAAAGGGTGGTGATGGGAAGAAAGGCGGGATTGATAGTCTAACTTTGCTGTCAAGATAAGGAGCTCTTAGGGTCTTTCCGTCACAGCAGGGAGTCAAGTGCTGTGGGTGCCCAGAGTAAGACCAGATTTCCACCAAAGCCTGGAAAGAAACGAGTGCCTGAAATATTCTGCTGTGTATTTAACAGAGAGCACGGCTTCCTTAACATCTAAATTCGAAGAACTAGATCTGATATTTAACCAGTCGAGCTACCAGTACTAGGCGTCCCGTGATGCCATGTGGCGATAGTAACGTATAGAAGGGGATGTTCCTGAATTGAGTAAGTTATCAACATTTTCTTATGTGCCCAGCACGGCATCTGGTAAATAGTAGGAGCTTAATATGTTTGCTGAGTGAAAAATGTGCCCAGTATAGAGTAAAGGACTAGGTAGTTCTCAGCCTTGGCTGCTCATTGGAGTCACTTGATGAAACTTTTGAAACCCCAAAGCCCAGATCTCGTCCCAGACCAGTTAGATCAGAATCTCTGCCATGGGCTGAACCAGGTATCGGAAGATGCTCCCAAGGTGATTCCAGTGGCCAGAGCACCACTGGTCTGTGGGCATGTGATGTTAACAGATGAGGTTTTCCCCTCCGTGTGTGGGCCAACCCTCCTTTTACACTTCTGACTAGGGTTGGGAGGCAGGTACTTTGGACAAGGGAAATCTCTTCCATGCATGTTTCCTGCTCAAATATTCCTTCCTAGGAATATTGGGTACCCCGGGTGTTGAGGGACCAAGAGGGTGCATTGATGGATCTGCCCAATATTGGTGAGTTTTCTGCGGATCCAAGAAACAGCAGGAGAATGAGAATTTCCAGGTTTTAGTGGGCCTCTGCCTCCCTTGATTAAATCTGACAATCTCATTCTCTGTGGGCAAGCTGTTGCAATGTGTTACTTCCCTCTTTGGAAACTTTCAGTGGCTCTCCATTGCCTTCGGAAAGGAGCTTGGACTTCCTGAGGCTGCACGGGCCCTCCAGCGCCCAGCCCCGTCTCCTCTTTTAGCTCTACCCCTCACTGCCTTTGACGTTCCCCACCGTTCCTCAGAGACGGCTCTTGAAGCCCCGATTTGCTCCTATGCCCACCACCTGCACGGGTGTAACTAACAGAGCAGGTCGTCCCATGCACGTTCTTACTGCTGTGCCTATGTTTCTTTGGCCTGAAAACAGACTCCTTTGTTTAAATGCCACCTCCCCAGTGAAGCCCTTCTGGACTGTAGCAATGGAAACTGAGTCGACCCTCTCTATGCTTTGCGTGTGTCTCTATTATATCGCAGCCACCTTATACATGAATGTGAATTATGCGATCTTGTAAACAGCGTGAATTAAAGAGAACCAAGTCTTGAATGATTGATTTCAAAACCAAGTCTCGCATGATTGCAAGCCCAGGCGGTCGTAACCTGTGTTGAGTGCTATCCCCCTGTGACAGTGGGAATCGTGCACTGAAAGGTTCTGTGGGAATCTGGGGATTACTGGGCTCTGTGTTAACATTCACTGTCGTCATTAGTTACATCTCCTTTGTGCATCCCGCGGCGATGAATAGAATACACTTACTGCTCATGTCCATTAACTCTGACTAGTGCTGAACGAAAGGCCAGCACGTCATCAGTTTTGGAGTGGAAGTTGGATCCGATAACGCGTGGTAAAGAAGGTCAAACAACTTCTGTGTCTTATTTTTAGGACAGAGGACATTTTCCAAAATAGTAGAGATAATAGACGTCAGCATTAAAAGCAAAAACTTGCTATGGTGGTTGTGGATCCAGGGGCTCTGAAAATGTATGCCTCCACCTTCAAAGTCACTCCTAAGGGAAAATGAATCTCAATACGGTGAGTTTAAAATAATGTTGGGGCTGAGGAAGGCCTCGAATGAAAACACAAGAAAAGAGTAGTGGGGGATGAAAATAAAGCTTCCCTACGTCTGCGTCCGTGAGCACTGCTGCTGTCTACTGCTGTGTTATGCTTGCTGTGGCCTGACCTGGGGTTCCCAAACACCCAGCAACTACAGATGGCAACTGGGGCCCCCGGGACAAAGCCGTTAGTGAGAGGCTGGACTGTGGAGGCATTGAAAGATTCAGGACTTGTGAAGAATCTTAGTCTAAACTCTGAGTAATTTGTGTTTTTGTGAAAATTCAAGAATCACTCAGGGGCTGAGGATTACAGGATGCTAAGACACAAACTTCGGTTGAGGCATAATCGATGCCAAGATTCAGAAGAAAGCACTACGCCAGGATTTACTGCGTCTCATGGCAAACATCCAAGGTACAATGTCAAGGATATAACAGAGTTGAGAAAGGAGGATTTCTGAAGACAGTTTTTGTGGAAAGCTGTTTGTGGAAGGGAGAAGGTGTCTGCATTTTAAATCACGCTTCAGGGGACCTTGATCGAACAGTCTGATTACTGCCCAGGAGATTAACAGCAAGGGGCTGCTCGGCTTCCCCTCTGATGGCAGAGGAAAGAGGGGTGACTGCACGAAAGTCACCTGCACTTCCAGTGACTGTCTGGGCAAAGATCTATATTGAGTGGGATCTACATGGGAGATCCAGGGTGGGATCACTTTTGACCTTGTCCCGGAGGGCACAGTCTCAGCAGCAGAATCTGAAGGTCACCTCAGACTGCCTAGAGGCTGAGGTTGGAAAAGGTTTTTCCTTTTCCAAAAAGAGTCAGCTTTGAATACCTCCACGGCTCAGTGAGTGCTCAACAGTACCTGCTAAGTCAGACCTTTTCTGTTTCCCAAGCCCTGCCAGAGAATGAAAGGCTCAGAAACTGCTCTCAGGAAAAGGCGGGGGCAGTGGAAGCACAATGGGAAGAAAGCAAGATCATTCCAGACGGAGGCAGGCTTTTCCCCACCGCAGCCTTGCCCCGGCCAAGTGTAGAAGCCTTAACTTTAAATCCAGTTTCGATGATTTCATGGGACAGGACACTTTACGGATGTGTGAACTTGCTTTGACACTTGCAGTGACTGTAAGACTTTGCATTGCCCAAGAGTGACCCGAGAATGCACAGGACTGTCCTAGTTGTCCTCCAAGGACAGGGAGAGACTGGGTGGCTGTGCAAGCTGACCTGGACAAGCACCATCCCTAGGAGATCTGATTTTACCCAGTGCTTTATCACTGAATAACCATCTCCTCCTCCTCAGCATCCTGAGCAGCATCAAAGCCTGACCAGGGCATGTCCTTTCTGGTCCCATCAGTATTTGATCTTTGAAAAAAAAAAATGTTTAAATCTCCTTTACCTCTGAGCAGTAACGATGAAGCTAAGAACTTCCTCTTCCCCTGACAGGTGGCTTGTATCAAAGATGACGCTGAATTCATACTAGAAAAAGAAAAGGCCATGTGTCATCAGCAGGCATGCCAAATTAAACCCTGTTAGCTACAATCTTCTGCAGTTCGTGACTTCTGGAAACTCATTTGCACGACAAGCTTTATTTTTTATGTATATCCTTCTGTTTGTCAGGCCAGAGACTCAACTTTAAGATAAAACCAGGCTGCGACCACACGCTGGCAAGAGGCACCACTAACCTTTTAAGCAACTGAGGGCCTCTTCAGGGAGCGATATGTTTGTCTCTTAAACTGGGACTTTCTACATTTCACTCACACGCCATGCTCGATTTTTTGCCACATCTGCATAACATATCACCTGTGATATTTACTTCATGTTTTTATTGCCTCTCTTTGTTTAAAGACTATTTTAAAAGGAAAATTTACATTCCTATCCCACGTGGGACTGCAGGATCAATTGCCATAAAGAGAAGGTAGTCACAGAAAGAAGTACAATGAAAACAAAGCCACGTTGAACTGTGTTGCTTGCTGCAGGCTCCGAGCCTGAGGTCTACTCTATTTTGGTAAAAGGGAGATCGATAAGTGACAGGGCAGCGTTAAAGCTACGCGAGCCCGATGGGAGACCTTCTCCTGCACGTGGTGACGATGGGAAGAGCGCTGAAAAGGTCATAATTTGTCCACTGTCAGAGGCAATGCTGTCTAGTGCTGTGTCCACACACCACCTAGAACCGTTTCAGGCACCCAAGTGATGGACGTCCTGCGATCTGGGGACATTACCCTGAGCAAATGGTTTTAACCATATCAGGCATGTGTGGAAATGTGGGTGAAACCCTGGGGTGGGGAGTTACAGAACCAGGTCCTACCACCAACTGACCATGTGATCTTTGCAAAGACACTTTATCTCTTCTCATTTCAATAAAAAGAGGGTGGACAAAATGATTCTTAAACTCCATCAAGCTCCGAGAGTCTATAACTTACTTAGTATCTAGATACTTGGGTTCTTTTATGACATATTCTAGCCCACGGTCTAACTTTGCAACAGTGGATTCTACTGAACTGAATGCTACCTGATAGTAATGAAAACTGGGCCATTGCATTGGACCATCATCTATAGTGGCCACTGGACATCCCTTTCCAGACAAAGATTTCTGTTGCAGTGGGACTTGTCAGCCAGTGACAAGTGGGGGTGGGGTATGGAGACAGGACAGGAAGCAGAGCTGGAAGATGCAAAGAAAGGGAAAGTCAAGCGACTTGTCCCAGCGGAGACTCAGAACTGGCAGAAGATCTGAATTAAGCACACTAAAGATCAAGGTGAAGTGAAAAACGAAAGATTTGGGTGAGAAGACAACATCAGCAATGGAGGCCTGGGAGAACAGAAGGTCAGGAACGAGGCGGGCTGGTCATGAGAGAGAAACACATGGCCACCAAGAGGAAGCCCACAGTATAGTCACCGGGCTCAGCAGGTGGTCTGTAGCCTGATGACCCACAGGGTCTGAGGGCCAGGGGAGGGCAAGTGGGGCTGCAGACAGAGATAGTGGCTCCCAGCGCCTCTGCCCCCAGGTTTAGTCTTGCTGCAGGTCTTAAGCTCTGCATGTGGAAGGAAGGCAGTGGCATTAGCAGAAGAAGGTAGTGGCAAAAAATTCAACATTCTAACAGTCACACTTACATCGGTTCTGTGGCTGCTTTGAGAGTTAAATGAAATTTTGACAAAATGTAATGCCCCAGATTTCGCCATTGCTTTGTTTTCATCGTGCCCATTGTTATGACTACCTCCTCGTTATGGCTAGGGATTCTGGATCCATTCGTGACAGTGCAGTCGATTTTCCTTTTAAAATAATCTTTAGATTAAAACTAGCAAGACGGACCTTAGGTTTGATTTGGGATGTAGGCTGAATTTTACAATGAAATGAGAATTGTTAAAATTTTTCAGTTACATCTACTTTCTGTTGTTCAATAGATTTCACTTAAATTTGCACGTGGAGGAGACACGTACGTTTCCACAGGCAGTGATGTCCCAGGTTCAAGGTCTTCCCCCTCCTCTCTCACCCCACCTGGAGTCTAATAGGATTTGCCCTGTATTCTGCCAGCTACTTGTAATCCCTTTTCTAAAGGCGGCCACCTCTATGGGTTTCCCTTCTGGGATGAATGTGGGCAGATGAGAAACAGAGCCGGAAAAAGGCTCAGGAATCACGGAGGTCAGAGCCACAGTAGTTTGGAGCAGGTACATTTCAACGAGGCGACGGGTTCAAGTGATTTGCTAAGAAATATTTGAGCAAAGCTTCTTTTTCACCAGAACATCATCACAGTTGGTTCACAAAACAGCTCCTATGTACTAGGACCAAAAAAGTCTTAGAGATTAAAATCATCTGATCCTACGACATAGGCAGGAGAGAAGGATGAAGCTTTCATTCATTTTAGGGGAAAAAAAGGTAGACTAAAAATTATGAACTTTCCTTTAAATTATAACAGGGGAAATAGCTTCTATTTCCAAAGGCAGACCTGGTCTTTTAGATTCTAGTTTTGCCTCCAACAATCACATTTTCTACTTATCTTTGCGCATACAGAATGCTCCATGAACGCCTCACTGTGCTGTGCATGTTACCTGCTCGCCAAAGCGATAAGGCCACGGTGCGTCTCTCACACGTGGGGCATGTCGTTCGGATGAAAGAGAAAGACCACGTGACCATGGCCCGTTGGAGCATGAGGAAACCTCAGGGTGAGGCAGCTGTCGGAGTCAGAGGCTGGTGGGAAGGGCTGGGGGCTGCTGCCAGGGAAGTCTCCCACTCTGCCCCTTACCTTTGACTTTGACCTCATGAAAGGAAATCCCACACTGCATTTGAGGAAGTCCGATTCCAGCAGTTCACAGGAAATGCCCATTTCCTCCTGAAAGAGAAAAAACACCAACAGATAGGCTGGCTGCATGAAGACAGATCTATAGAAGTGATCTCAGGCAGACAAACTGAGACTTCAGCAGACACGATCCTTTTTGGGGGCAGTTCTCAGACGACAGCCCCTGTTGGCTGCGGTGGGATGAGGAGCTTCTGACCAGGGCGAGTCCCAGTCCTCCCGGCCACCCACCCTTCCTGTGGGTTCCTCTGGGAAGACAAGAGCAGAAGACAAACCCACTCTTCATTCTTAACTAACACGTTGGCTCTGAAACCCCAGAGCTCTCATGGTGAACTGGGCCAGGTCACATGTGAGCTGGACGCCTCCTGAGGTTTAAATTAAAAGCAATCAAAGGGTCTTTCTGGCCTCTTTCTCCTAAACCCATACCCTAATCCTGTCTATCAAAATCTTGCTAGTTTAGTAAAGTCAAACTCAAAGAAAATCACACCAAGGAAAATGCAGGGATTCTTCCTACAGCCAGACGCGATGAGGGCTGAGCTGCTCCCCTGCGAGCCCCCTCCCAGGGTGGGTGCGAGTGCATGCAAGGAGAGGTTTCCCTGTGTGGCTGGCCTGGGATGGACTGCACACTCAGCAGCATGCAAGAACTGGGAGCTGCCATCTTTCTACCTAGATACATGGCTTATCACCAAGGTCAAAGGAAAGCCAGGAGGCTCTTCAAAACCCACAGGGCCTCTCCAAGTCACTGAAGCAAATCAAGATGTTCAAGGGAGGACAGTATGCTTGCAGATTTTGGAGAAGGAGAGAACACAGAACAGAATAAGCATTTGCTGAGTGACTGGAAGCTGGGACACTTAAGTTCGGTGAGACCACATGACTTCCCCAAGGTCATTCCTGGCTGACTCTAAAACATGTCTCCTTTCCCCTTCCACGGCCCTAAATTTCCAGAGAGAATGAGCACAGCCAACAACACAATGGCAACCAAAATAAACCAACTGGTATGGATTCCGGCTCTGAAATGCTGCCCATGCTCTCGCCTCCAATTTCCAAGACCTACACCTCATCTCAGACCTATAGTCCCAATCCTGTAGGTGGGTAGAATAAAAAAAAAAAAATTTTATTATGTATCCAATCAGGAAAAAAATGTGGGCACTTACCACAATGTACCTAGTTATCAATTATACACATACACTACTATATTAATGTATTATGAACATTGTCAAACACTCAAAAAGTAGACAAAAGATAAATAACCCATGGGGTTAGAAGTCAAGATAGTAATTGGGGAGGCAGTAAGTGGAAGGGGTTCCTTCCTCAGGTGCTGGGAATATTCTTGGATGTGATCACTGAGAAAATTCAAAGAGCTAAGCACTTAATGATTTGCGTACTTTCGTTTCTAAGTCAATGAAACTTGACTTAGAAAATAGCAACAAAAATCCCTCCAAAATACAATGAAATAAAAGACAGAAAGATAAAAGGAAACTAGTTTATCTTTCAGCATCTCAGTGATTACGTTTTCTTTTTCTTCCCTTATATTTTTTAAAATTAAATTTTATTGGGGGTGACATTGGTTTCTAATGGCTTGACATGTCCTTAGCCAGCATTTCTCATAGGGACTGGGGACCACCTGCATTAGAATCCATCTGGGAGCATCTTCAAAAATACAGATTCCTGAGCTACACCCCAGTATTCTCGGAGTAGATAACTGAGTAGTCTCGGAGTTTGTGGGGTCTGGGATGAGCATTCTTCAATAAATGGTAAGTGACAAAGTAAGTAACTCTGCTGTGCAATGATGTCTGGGAGCCACTGCTATGAGCTTCCCTTTCTTTGGTCCGTTCCACAGGCTGCTTGACCAATGTTCTTAAAACGTGCCTCTCTCCTCTGTGTAAGGTGTTGCCACTGTCAGGAACACCTTCCCCCAGTCCTCCCTCCTAGGTTTTCTTCATCCATCTTGGCCCCCAGACACTCATGGGTAGAAAGTTCACGTGAATGTGGACACGGCGCAGGATTCAGAATGGACTCTGAGCATCCCCTGGGGGGCTGAGTCATCCCAGCACCTGCCACAATCAGCGCTGAGGACGTAGGTCTGAGAGATGTTAGTCCCCGAAACATGAAGAGCTCAGGGCTTAGACGGGGGTGACCTCCCGGCAGAGAAACAGACACTTCCACAGCAGTGGGACAGGGCTGCTCTTGGAGCCTAGAGGACATGCATGGGCAATTTCAATAAGGAAAACCAGAGAATAATTTCTCGAATGCTGTCTTAAGACCTGCAATGTGCAAAGACTGGTCCTAATGATTCACTGTGGGTGGCCTCTTGTGATTGTCCTCTTCCTCACATTCCTTGCTCCAGAAGCAAGTCCACAACTGGCTCAAGTAGAAGCTACTCTGAATCCTAGCTAATCAGCCTGAGGCCTCAGAGGCAGAGCACCCAAGCCTAGGGTGACTTTAGCTCTTAGTTTCTCTGGGACAGTCCTGGTTCATGTCTGTCATCCAAATGTAATTACTCTCAGGAGCATCCTGGCATATATATAAATGACAATGATTACTCAACCCAGTTCTGAACCCCTTTTGTAAAGCTCGATAACTCACTAGAAATCCCTTTCGAGCCAGGAGAGAGGTCTTCAATTTAAGTCAAAGGCTTAACTGTTCTTGAGGTAAAGATTTACTGCCCCGAAGACTCCTTCGGTTTTACGTGTGTATGAAGGAATGACTGTGGCTTCAAAAATTTACTCTGGAACTTGACGGGACCTCAGTTTACTTAGCGTTGGCTAAGAACACTTTTGATTATTCAAGAGCTGCTGAATGGCCTTATTTTTGTTAATTCCCAAATGCGAGAAAATAACATTTACACCAGCATTTACTGCCTTATTCCAAGTCTCTCTTCCGCCCCACTCAGTTTAATAGAAATTACAAAATTCTGGTTGGATCTTGTGGGGGAGAAGCAAAAAGAGTGAAAAGTGAAGACATGGCTAGGAATGAGAGCGATCAGCGTCTGGTTCCTGACTCATGTGCTCCTGGATGGAGCTCCGAGAAGGGATGTCATAGGTCACCCTCCTGCCACCTGTGGGCACCAGTATAGCCCTCCTGTGGCTATTTACACCACCTCGACCAAAAGATTTTTAAATTCTATGCCCTGTTCTCCTACTACAGCTGTGAGGTGAAGAGGCCTCTCGGAGCGTGGGCTTCGGCAAACATGGAGACTCCCTGTGTGGGCTGGGTGGGTGCTCCCCCCAAGACCTCTTTACTAGACGGGTTCACCAGCCTTAGCTGAACAGGAAGTGCTTAAAAGTCCAGGAGGTTATAACGCCCTCCCCACGAGCATTCTGTAGCCTAGGACTGACAGGCAAAGGGTGCCCCTTTGCCTCAAGGCGAGAGCAGCTTGGTTGCATCCTGCTCCAGAGCCCCTACAGGATGTGGCCAGCACACGCCAGCTGAGAGCGCGACCTTGTGTGGCTCCTTCCTCTGCCCCATCCTGCTCCCTTCACTCCTCCCAAGAGCATTTCCCCCCAAAACCACTTACACAGGAATCCCCATCTCAGGTTCTGCTTCTGGTGAACCTGACCGCAGACAATACTCTTTACAATACTCTGGGCACTGACAGCCACTGGAAAGTGATGGGCATTTACTCCCGAGCAGGGAGAGGCAATGGAAGGGGACACTCACATGCTAATAAATCTTGTTGAAATCCAAGAGAAAACTTTTCTAACTGCAGTTTACGAAATCTGCCTAGCTTCCCCACAAAGCAGAGCCTGTACCCACTTTGTTCTGGTTTCGGATCGTGCCCAGGGCATGACCTTAAAACACCAGAGTCAGGATGGAACCACGCCCTTCCCTGGTAGTCAGGTAGGGAACTGATATGCACGGAAAGACTCAGAGAGTGAATTCTGCGGAGATGTGGCTAGCCTCAGCTCTCTTCCTGCTTCAGGTAACATCAGTGGACAGGGTTCTTTTGGGGACTGCTTATTCACCTCAAAACACCAGGAGGTGGATGGGGGCCATCCCAGGGACCAGGCTTCTCCTTGGCTCTGGTTCCTTCCCTGTCCCAGGCATTGTTCACACAGAATTCAACTTGGAGAACTTGACTTTTAGCATTGTTGCAAAAATTAGGATCATCAGCTCTCAGCCCTCTGAATTGTGGTGAACAAACTGTCTATCTTTGCACCTGGTGCCAGACAGTGTAGGCCTCTGATCATCTAATTCATATACCGTGCAGATTTACTACAGAATAAAACTAAAATCTTGCTGTGAAAGATGTAGGTTTTCATGAAATCAATGAAAATGATGGAAAACTGTTCACACCACTGAAAACCACTGATAACTCTGGACCTGGCAGTGCTGGATCCGCTAACTGTCGAAGGAATCAAAAATTTCCTTGGTTGATAACACTTTTAGCTGCTTCAGAAGACAAGAATTTAAATAAAAAAAAAAAATAAAATCAAGAGAGCCCTTGGGAAGAATATGCCAGTTAAAGACGATCTTTTTGTGATTATACTTAAAAGGAATGAAAGCAAAACATGAAGCAAAAAGAATTTTAAGAAACAGAAAAAGTATTCACCTCCAAAAGCTGCCTATTTGGTACTTAATTCCTTTTGTCCCAGAAAGTAACGCATTGTTGTTTTAAAGATGCTCATAAAGCAAATAAGTTCTTGCCTTGGGTCTAAGATTTCCTCGACAATTATAATCACAGTACAAAAGCTGTTAAATGGAGGATAATATAAACTTGTCTTCAGAATTTTTAGTTTCATTTTTCAAGTAAAGTCCCAATCAAAGTTTTAAATTTTTTTTTTTACTATGGAATTCTGGACCCTATTTGAAGAATAGGGTCCAGAATTTTTGTAATGCCTCTTTTTGTAATGACACTTTTCCTCAGCTAGCAAGGACATCCTATAATACCATAAAATGCTATCGGTGTTTCTCCCGGGAGATTATGAGTGATTCAATTAAAATTTTCTCAGTTTTTACCAACACACATTACTCTCGGGCTCAGGAAAACAATCAATACTCTTTAGAACATAATACTGAAAAGGTTGGCTCGTACG